CAATGTGAGCAACTTTACTAAAATCTCATTTTAGGCAAAATGTAATTAAATGCTCTAGGATAGTGAATTAACCATGTTTTAAAATTTCTTTGAGACCTATGAGACCTCTGACCAGGTTTTAAGTACTGAGCTACTTGTGTATCATTTTTAGGTGTCTACCTCACCTTGCAAGAAAACAGAAGAAATTTTTTGAAAAGGCACAGGCATAATAAATGTGCTTTCATTTGATTAATGGATCATCCATAAAGAGGAGGAAAAGTTTTTTTAAAAAAAGAAAGAAAGAAAGATAGTTTTAATGAATAATACTGATAGTTCATACTAATTTAGAAATACAGTCATCTCCAAAAAGCTTCTGGGCTGAGCCTACCTCATATGTAATGAATGCTGATACTAGACCAAAGCTCAAGTGAGGACATCAGAGAAACATACAAGGTCATATTGGCACATAAAGGGAAGCGGCAGCTAAGGTCTGCTGAGGTGCTCTTAATGAGAGGCACCTCTGGTATCTTCTTCTCAGGAATTTTCTACTAGGTGCAATCACTAGGATCAAATGGTGGCATCATGTTTCCTACAAAATTCTATTTAATCATGGAGTAGCATGTGTGCAGGGTCTTACAGTTTTGAAAGCAATACCATAGATTTTTTTATTATGTTTTTGAATACAGCCTATGAGGAAGGCAAGCAGTTATATGATCATTCCCATATTTATGTTAATTATTGTTGAATGACTAGTGATCCCAGTCATAGAACCTATAAGACATAGGCAGAGCAAAACCTAGAGGCCAGTGCTCATTCTCTCCATTTACTTAGGCATTCATTCGTGTACTCATTCATTCATTCAACTAATGGGGCCTTTGACTTAAAGATGACTCTGTGGGCCCTCAGTAAGCCCACAGTCTCTAATGAAGAGCACAAAGAAAATCTCATAACAATGATAATAAAAGCATGAAAAGTATAGCTAAGATATGTATGCAAGGCTTCCAGATGAGGTCAATTCTTTGACCTGGGTTTCGATGAAAAAAAAAAAAGAAATCACCAGGCCCAGAAAATAGTAAGGAAATAGTAAGCATGCATAGGTTATCTAAATTTGTTCAAGTAGAAGAGTATGTCTGAGTCCTGGCAGAAGCTGAGAGTAAGGTCGGCAGTGGCCAAATCCTGGCCACGAATGTTTTAACCTGTGGGCCAAGCTAAAAGCAGCCAAGGTACTCAGGTTGATAAATATGCTAAACTCCAAAAAGCATTCTGGGCTGAGCTCACCACGTTGTTGTGTGCAATAAAGCACCCTGGTTTCATCTTTTCATGCTGTGATGTCTTGAAACAGGAATGACTCAAGCCCCAGGTTTGAATGAGTAATTGTTTGCTGTAGCTGATGTATGTATACATACATTTTCACACACACACACACACACACACACACACACACACACACACGGATAGAGTTTTTATTCATAATACTAGATATAATATCCATATCCACATAGATTATACAAAACACAGACTCCATAAAGCTCACAGGCAGAGACTTCTAAATGATGTTTATGTCTAGACAGACCCCTTGGGACCTGTTCAGAGGGAGATGGGTTACTGAGAGAGGTTACCCGTGCAGGACAAACATCTCTCCTATATGCTTCAGACACCATTCGCCTGCAAAGGAGCCAACAAACCAGGCTGGACAGGATGAATTCCAAAGGTGTCTGAAAGCCCTGTGGTTGTCTGCACTACCAGATTATTTGCATGAAGCAGTTTCCCCATTCTTGATAAATAAAATTATGTAGCCCTGGTGAAATTATTACTCTCTGCCATTTTTTGTGCTCAAGCAGAAAATGTATTATTGATTTCTGGTTCAACCATAGAAAATATGACTTAGAGCCAAGAGCACTGAACGAGGAATTAGTAGACTTAGATTCTTTCCCCAAACCGCTATTCTAAGGACCCCCAACCTCTCCCACTACTCCCACACTACAGCTGGTGACCTTGGACAACAGACTTCACCTCTCTGGGTTTCAGCTTCCCTGTGTCAAATAAGAGGAGGGCTGAGCATCCTGCAATTTTCTTTCAGCTCTAAATCTATAAAATCATCCCCACCCCCAAGATTTAGTTTCTCTTCATGAGCTCTAAAAATCAGGACTAAACAAACTGTTTACTGATTACTTTTCAACCAACATAGATCTCACTTCATTTCATTTTTTAAAACCAACTAAATCTTGCATAATTTAAATGAAAAGTACTGTTATTGGTTGCTTTGGTATGAATTATGCATTGTTCCTATCTAGGGAAATTTTAGACTGGGTCCAGTCTGGGATCACTGGCTGAGAACAATAGGGCCCTAAAGTGAGGATAAAGACCTCTCCAGACAGGTTCTGCTTTTAGTGCTCTGAACTCAGGATTGGAAAAAAAAAAAAAAAAAAAGCAATGAATGTGTACATTAAAGAGCCACTGAAACAGCAAGGGACCAGGGACCCGGAGGGCTGCAGCCAATTCTCCTAGAAGCCACTGACCTTGGCTGCATTTCAGGGGTCGGGCATTCCCCAAGAGGCTTTCAGCAAGAGGCTTCCCTGAGAGCTTAGGAACAAATGAGACTTTTTTATCTCAGTGAGCCCAGCTCTCCAAGTGTGGGAAGGCAGAGGTGTCCTGCCCTCTGATTTGTAGAGCTCACCTACAGGCCTTTGGAGCTCACCTCACCCACCACAAGCCTGGAGGAAGAACCCTCTTTGCATGGGATGCAACTGTCTCTACATCTGCATTTAATCTTCCAGCCAGCAGTACCTCAAGGACTCAGCATAGCGGCTGCTCCCACCCCTCCCTGCCCTGCTGTCTTTGTACACCGGCTAGGCAGAGAACTAAGTGAGCAGTCCAGGCCACAAAGAGCAATTTCACTTAATCATGTAAAAATATCCTTTCCAAACACAGATTGTCAGAGAACAGATCTCCCCATGTGTGGACTGTGCAGAAGCTGGGCCTGGAGGGCCCTCTTGGTAGCTCCCCAGACTGCAGGTATTGTGTTTGGCTTCTCACAAAAAACCTTCCCAAGGAATAAAGCCCGCAAGAGACAAGTCCCAGCCCAACTTAAAATCACATCAGAGAGCGTTCCACTAGAGGGGCAATGCTGAGATCTCAGCTCAGGGAAATCACCACAAGCCTAGTGCATTGTTCAGACCCCCTCCCCTCGGCCACTCCCCTCCTCCCCAAGTCTCCCCTATCCATCCAGCTGATCCACCGGCCAGCAGCAACTCCCAGTGCAGAAAGTAGGGCAAAGGAACACTGTCAGTAAAGCAGGAAGCTGGAGACTGGGCCAAAGCACCCACCCTGTTACCAACCCCCACTTCCAGCTGCCCAGAGGGCAAGGGGCTCTGGATGTGGCATTCTGGGCACCAGGGAAACAGACAGCTTACTGTAATGATGCATGAATGAGCTTTGACTGCCCAGCTATGAGCCAGCCCATTTCAAATGGCATCCTGTTCTCTTCTCAGCTTCTATACTGCCTTGCAGAAACATCACTCTTGGAGGAACAGATTAAAGGGAAGGCAGAAGGGGTGAGGAAAACAGGTTTACTGAGACTAAAGAAAAAGTATCACTTTGATCAAAGAGATAGCTCTTTAAAATATCTGTAGCGGGGAGGCAGTGTCAGGAGAAGCATTGGAGACTCTTGCAAACGGCCTCAAGATTTAGCATCAGTGTAACAATGTATCCCTCAGGAAAGCAAGTGAACTTCCCCCCATACTGCTGGGTTCTGAGGCGAGAGCCACCATCGATTGGGTCTCACCCACCCTCCGTGCACCAGTATGCACTTGCTATTTATTTTATTTTATTTTTGGTTCGGCAGAGGAAGAAGTCGTCCTCAGACTGACGTTTAATGTTTCCCAGATCTCTGCTGCCTCCACCACCACCACCACCAACACCACCCCTCACCCTCTTCCTGGCGGGCAGTACCCAATTAAAATAGCAAGAAAGCTCCTCCACCTTCCCTGAAGCAGTGTGTTTGAGACTGGGGGTTGGGGGTGGGAAACGTCGAGTCTACATGGGGATTCCTGATATTCTGATCTCAAAACAACAGCAAAATGGATTCTATATCGGTGATGTCTTAGTCAATACAATGAAACGGCGTCTGAGGTAATTCACGTGAAGGTAACCGAGAGGCTGGGGGAAGGGAGGTGCTCTACAAAGGACTGGCCACTGACACAGGGAACACACACACACACACACACACACACACACACACACACACACACACTCCAGTGAGTTCCGGTCTGATTGGGAAAAGCTGAAAATACATCCCTTTCACCTGCTTAAGTTCAGCCATAAAACTGAAATGTCACCACCACAAAGTCAGAAAGCACAAGGCAGGGCTGAGTGAAAACCATAAATAAAGGTGAGTGGCAGACTGGCATTTAGGGGAGCGCTAAAGGGGAGCTCCTTCCAACAAGCTAGAAAAGGGGGAAGGGGCACAGTTGCCATAGGCGAGACCTGCAGAGCCAGGACTACCTCCTTCGGAAGGGCAGGTTCGTCGGGGACAGCCAGGCTCCGATGTCATCGTGTGGGTAGCTGGAAAACGCGAGGGGTCACTGCCTTTATTCACGCAAGGATTCTTTTTGCAGAAAGGGGCAGTCGGGTCTCACGCTTTGGGCACAAGAGGACTGCCGGGGCGTGTACACACACACACACACACACACACACACACACACACACACACACGAGCCTTTCATTTTAATGGTCTTACACCGGTCTAAGATGAAATTGGGGTAAGCTCCACGAGCTCGCAAGACCCTCGGCCACAGCCAAAGAAGTACACGTACCGCACAGCCCCTGCCGTGGGGACTCAGCTCAGAGCACCTCAGCAACCCCCGAATACACGCCGGATCGCAGGTTCCCTCCCGGGTGCATTCTATGCCGCTGCCCACCAAGCCTAGCCCCAGCCCCAGCCCCAACCCCAGCCCTCGAACCGAGCCCACTCACTACGACCCAAACCACTGGAGAGAAATCAGAAAGCATGTTCTGCTCACCCTCAGAGCCGAGAGATCGATTTCATCCAGGCTGCGAGCCGGGGAGTCGCTCGCCATGTCTACTTCTTCGCTGGAGAAATGGATCAAAACCACCCCGAAGCTTCTTCCCTGGAAATTCCACCTTGGTCTATTTCACTCGCGTCGTCCTCATGCGGGTGTAGCTTCAGAGGCCCCGGGCCCAGCCTCCTCCGCCCACCCCGGCCCCACAGAGCCAGAGCTCGAGCCTCCTCGCTCCGGTCCGCCGGGTCCGGGAGCCCAGCGTGCGCGGATCTCCAAGCCCGGAGCAGCGGTGCGTGTGGGCTGCGCGCCCCGATCGGCTAAGGGCGCTGGGGCTGCGTGGGTGTATTTAAATGGGACATGCTTCTTTGCTTGTGCGTGGATGGCGGCTGCATTGGCTGTTATAATGAGACACATCAACTCCTCCACTCAGCTGGAGGGGAGGGGGTGGAGAACCGCACCGAACTGTCTATCACCGCTTCCTGGGAGGAGTAAAGGGGGAGGCGGGGGAGGCGTGGTCTGTGACCGGGGAGAGGCCGCGCTTCCTGACCCGGTCCCTCCGCACCGGCGTGGATGGGGGAGGGGTGCGCACCCTTTCTGCCCAGGCTTTTGAGGGCTAAACGGCACGGATCGTTAGAGCTGTTCGCGAGCCTTGACGTGCTTAATCGCAGGGACCCGAGCTCTATTTTTTGTGTGTCCAATTTGTGCACTGCAGCAAAATGGCCTTTCACTAGCATCTGAGGGTTTCTTGGAGGGGTTCAAAAGCTCCGGTGCTGGGGACAAAAGGCCAGAAGTGGGGGGGAAATACCTGTGACGCCCTCCCTCCCACATTATTTGTGCGGCTGGAGTAAGGCGGGCTGGTGCAACCGGTGCATATAAGGACTTGTATGCTGGGAAGGGGATCCGCCTCCGGGCTCTGAGCGAGTGGGGGAGAAGCGCACAGGCACAGTGTGCACGGCTTGGCCCGAAGGGTCGGGTCCTTGGCAGCCCGAGAAATCCTGTATGGCGGGCTCGGGACACCCGACACTCCCGCTTCGGGGCGGGGAAGGATTGCCAGAAGCGGGAAAGCCCAGCACTCTGAACTCGATCTTGACATCGCCACACCCAGGACTCGCTCGTGCCGCAAGTCCCCACGGAAATGGAATTGAAACTAGAAGCTTGTTCTCTGGGTGCAGTAGCTGGAACGCTTCAGGTAACTCCGAGGCTGACGCCGGGGAAGGCAGAGCGCGCATCTCAGGACCCAGCCTTTCCGCGCTGACCTTTCCAGATGGATGCAGAAAGTTTAGCTGACGGATAAGACGCAGGGGTAGGTGAACGCGGGAGAGCGATTTCACTGGCTTCGCTTTCTCATTGAAAGGCCGGATACTTCACCGAGGTAAACATGACATTCTGTAATGAAGAGCGTGAAGTCACTTCCCTCAACCTCCCCCGCGCAGCCTTTCCTCTGGGCCTTGGCTACGCGAAGTACTTCTCAAGAAAGCGCTAAAACTGAGCTGTTTCCCCTCAAAACAGCAGTAGCCCTAAAGGCATTCTTTACACCTCTGTTAAGAGGAACATCTACTCCTGGCCAAGTCCACTGTGGATTTTTTAATCATGTGCTATGGATTTGAGCTTCAGTATAAGCTTTTGAATGAATGAATGGAAGTCGGTGCAGTTCTTCACCACTGCAGACTTTTCAAGGGGCGCTCGGTGTTTGCTGTGCTGTTTGTTAATGTTATATTTATTCATATGCCTTGTGGACCATGCATTACAAAACTTGAAAATTGCCCTAGCATCTCAACAGCAGCAACAGTTTGGGAACTTTGGGCTTTAAATCTCATATGTCCAACGTGTCACATTTTAAATTCTGTATTTGACTTTTCATTTTCTAATGAAATCATCGAGCTCAGTGTAATAAGTACTCTGCAGTAAGCTTCCGTGTTGGAAAAACGAGCATTCTCCATCATTATTATTTTCACCCTCCTGCCTCCTTTGTTTACCCTTCATATAGCCAGCTGGTTAACAGATTGCCTCAGTGTGAAAGAAAAACAATTTCAGGCATTGAAACCCCAAAACAATTATTTTTAAAACTTAAAATGTGCAATTATGAACTTCATTTCCACTGAGAACCTTCATTGTATACCCCGGACTTTATCTTAAACATCCCCAAAAGATCTGTTCTGTAGACGATGTTAGTACCCTGTCCTGGTCATGAAGATATCCTGATACTGGCCCTAAATTTAGAATAAGATTAGAGAAGTGTGCAGGCCTGCCGGCGAGGTACTGAGAGGAGAAGGGCTTTCTCAGCCTGAGAACACTGAGAGAGAGCCTGGCGAAGGCAGGGGTGCTGACTAGGAAGTGCCATAAAAGAGGGTTTAGCATAGCAAATGCACCTCCAGTAGGGAGGAAAGGTGAGAATTAGGAAACTCCAAGCAGTTTGTACAGGTGGAGATGAAGTAATGATGGTGACTCTTAGACCTGGGGAAGAAAGCAGAAATCAGGTTAGGAAGGGCTCTGAGTGCTTCTTCCTCTAAGTCAAGCATATATCAAGCTTTAGCTATTCCAGTACAAACTTTCTAATTTTGGGCTATTTCTGTACTGCCTATAATATTACTACTTCACATTTTTTTCCTTTTTCCATAATATAATTTAAAAGAAAACATAAATCATTACTATAAATGGAAAGCTAGCAACACTTGCTTTAATAAAAGAAACCATTGAAGGAAATATAATGAAAAATAAAACAGTACTATTAAATTCTAGCTAGCTATCATTGCCTGCCCTAGGCTTCTAGCCTAGGCCTGCTCTTAGTGTGTGAAAATAGACAATAGCAAATGCCAGAAAAGGCATTCAAGGCTTGGCCAAAGTAAATCATCCTCACGATGTAACCTGAAGAATTAAAGGAACTGATACCATTTCTGTGCAGCTTGAATGCCTGCAGAACAATATGATAGGCTCTTTATATCTATGCTAAATATGCAGTGAACCCTAAGAAGCAAGGAAATAAGCAGGAAGGATACGATCAGCTTCAAGACAGTGAGAAGGGAGGAAAAAGAGTTGAATGGAAAGGCACAAAGAAGCTTCCACTAGTGATACCTATTTATAAAAGATCGCAGGCAAATATTGCTAAATATTTGGAATTGTTACATCTGGATGGTTATTTATTGACTATTCACTATAATGTTTTCTGTACCTCTACATATTTGAGATACTTTTATATTTTAACATGTTTGTTAAAAAAGAGTCCCCAAAAAGGTTTTGTGCTATCACATTCATTGATATTTAATGTAACCTTTGTACCAACTAAAGACCCACTGTGAAAATCAAAACGTTTCCAAAAGCCCACTCATGCATTCATTTTCTGTCACCATAAATCGCTAGATGTGGCAGAAAATATATTTGCAAAAATTCATCCAGGTTCTAAAAGATAGGTGAGAGTGGTAGCCCAGAGATCCAGTGGATTTCCAAGATTATATAAAGCAGGCAAGACTGGATTACCAGTGGAGTCACTGTATAGGGTGAGAATAGGATGACAGCAGCTTAGAGCTGAGAGACCATGGCTGCAGAGAAGGTACATTCACTACGGTGTATGACTAAAGAACACTGACTCGTTCTTTATTCATTCAATGGGTATGTAGAACTCTTTTTGAAAGATCAACATTAGACCTCCAAGATAATGCCTTGGTACACTAAGCCCTTGCTTTCACAGAGGCAAACAATAAACTTGAAAATAAATAATCAGTAACTAAGGTCATTTTAAATACAAAATGGTGAGTGATATGAAGAAAAGTTAGCCAGGCAGTAAGACCCACAATGGACAGTGACTACCCTCAACCCCTACACATAATCAATAAGGATGAGAGATAGGGCCAGTGAGGCAGTGTAGCATCCCAAGGAGCTGATCACCAGTTTCCAGGACAAATGGAACCAACACACACACACAGAAGGAAATCTAACTGCATCCTCTGCTCTGCACCCTTGTTTAGTCTGCCCTCCACCCACCGCAAGCAAGCCCTCAGAATCAGAACTGGCACCACAGACAGGTAGTGAAAATTCCAGACTAAATTGAACAGATAACCCCAAATCACCATCATTTACCGAAAGCTATCACTAGGAAAGGCACCAACTTTAGTCAACAAACAGAGTCAACATCCAAAAGTTTTATTGGTAAAATGGTGTTTTATAATGGACACATTTATGCTCAAAGGACAGTATAGGAGCTCACATTCATAAACAACAAGGTAATGATAAGACTATCAGAGGATTAAGAATATAATTATTGAAGTTAAAGATTAATAAGTCGAGTAATTTTATGCTACAGATGTTCTTAAGCACTTGATATAGCCTGAATCTTTGTGTCCCCTAAAATTCAAATGCTGGAACCAAACCCCAATAGTGATGATATTAAGAAGTGGGTTTTGGAGCTGGGGATTTAGCTCAGTGGTTCTGCTTCATGCCTCGCAAGCACAAGGACCTGAGTTCGATCCCCAGTACCAAAAAAAGTGGGGCTTTTGTGAAGTGATTACATCATGAGTGAAGAGCTCTCTCATCAGTGGGGTTAGTGCCTTATGAAAGAAGCCTGAGGGAGGCTGTTGAGGAAACACAGAAGACGTCATCTACAAGGAAGGGACCCTCTCCACACACCAAAAGTGCTGGCACCTTGAACTTGGACTCTAAAATTATGAGCAACAAGTTTTTATTGTTTATAAATTAGTAAGTCTAAGATGATTGGTTACAGCAGCCCAAATGAACTAAGACAGCATTCGTATATTTACATGTTTATAATTTTATAAAATAGGCAATATTGTTAGCATATTCACTGTACACATGAACAAACTGAAGAATGAATTGGGTTTAATTTACCCAAGGTAACACAACAAGTGGCTGAGCTAGGATCTGAACATAGGTCCTTCGTCATCTTGCTAGATATAATATGGGTTGAACAAGAAAATGAATTAAGTTAGATGATTGGACCCAGTTTTCTTGTGGCTTGCAGGAGAAAGGATAAGGCAAGGAATAAATCTAGACTTGTTTGTTTGTTTGTTTGTTTGTTTGCTTTTGAGACAGGTTCTTACTATGTAGTTGAGACTGACCAGGTACTCACTATGTAGCCCAGGCTGGTCTCGAACTCACAGCGATCCTCCTGCCTCAGCCTCCCAAGTGCTGGGGATTACAGGCATGTGCCACCACGCCCGGCCAAATCTAGAAATTTCAATATTCATTTAATAATGGATCTAGATGACAGATGGAAGGAAATATTCAAGAGAAATGACAGAAAATGTTCCAGTATCTTCAGGTTAGAAGCTCTCATTTGTTGCTGAGCCAAATGCATAAGTTCAAAATACCATACTTGAACGAGTCGTGACTGAATTTCAGAGCAAGCAGCCTAAAAAGACAGTGCTAACTAGGTTATCTGCTTCCCATTAGCAACAATGGATGTTAATAGATATTAGAACAAAGTATTCTAAGGGAACTGTTTTTAACCTAACCTAGAA